ATATATAAATGATAGAAGTTCTGGTAAAAGTATCTTGGAAGTACAGTTCAATGAGCAAATTACCATGAAATTACTTGAAAATCTTAACGTAACTAAATCATGTGGACCTGATTTCTTACACCCTAGAGTCCTGAAAGAAGTTAAGAATGCAATATGTTTACCATTGACTCTTTTATTTCATCAATCTTTTGAAGAAGAAGAAACACCGATTGACTGGAAAACGGCAAATGTGAAAGCGTTGTTTAAGAAAGGGGAGAGAAACCAGGCAGGAAACTATCGACCAGTAAGTTTGACTTGTGTCCCCTGTAAGCTTATGGAAAAGGTGGTAAGGGATCAATTAGTGAAACATATGACTGAAAACAATCTATTTTCAAATTCACAATATGGATTCAGAACACTGAGATCTTGTGCTATACAATTACTGGAAGTTATGGAAAAATGGACGGAATGGATAGACGATAGTCAAAATTTTGATTGTATTTATTATGATTTTCAAAAGGCGTTTGACACTGTTCCATATGTTAGATTATTGAAGAAACTTGAAAGTTATGGAATTAATGGTAAATTATTAAAATGGATTGATGCTTTTCTCCGGGATAGAAGACAAAGGGTTGTAATTGGTAGTGAAAAATCTCAATGGACTGAAGTCACCAGTGGTATTCCACAGGGAAGTGTCTTAGGACCTACACTATTTTTGATTTACATTAACGACATAGAAGATGCCATTGAAGGAACATTGCGTTTATTTGCTGATGATACAAAACTGTACAATTTAGCGAATGATGATGCAGATATAGAGAAAATTCAATCTGACAATGACAAATTAAGTATATGGAGTGAAAAGTGGTTACTTAAGTTTAATGCAAACAAGTGCACTACATCACACTACGGAAATCATAATGTCAATAATACCTACCATCTTAAAGTAAACAACACCAGAAATGAAATTTCAAACAGTGAATCTGTAAAAGACCTTGGAGTTACTTTTGATGTGAATATGAAATTTAGACAGCAAATAAATGATTGCATCAATAAAGGAAATAAAATTACAGGACTAATGAGAAGAACATTTCTGCATTTCACAGTGAAATCTTTCGGGAAATTATTTAAAACCCTAGTTAGGCCTCATCTAGAATATGGAAACATTATTTGGAATCCTCGTTTTAAGAAAGACATCAATGCAATTGAATCAGTACAAAGACGTGCAACAAAACTAGTTGGTCAACTAAGAAATCTGTCATATGAACAACGACTTAAAACACTGAAATTGCCGTCACTAGCATATCGTCGATTTAGAGGTGACATGATTGAAGTTTTTAAATTGTTACATCATAAGGAGGATATTAACTATGAAGTGTTTTTTGAATTAAATAACAATGCAAATACAAGAGGTCATGGGTATAAACTGAAAGTGAAATCATGTAGAACTGAGATTAGAAAGCATTTCTTTTCTCTACGGGTTATCTCGGACTGGAACAATTTACCAGAAGTGGTTGTGAATGCTCCTTCACTTAATAGCTTTAAAAACAGGTTGGACAAATTCATGGGAGAAACACAGTATACCACCATACCGGATCAGAACTGGGTACAAAACCATGGGGGGGTTATAGAAGACGATGATGACGTCTTGCGACCTCAACTCCAGTAAACCTAAACAAACAAAGGCACCATGATAAATATTGTATCGATATTTTCCGTTCCTCTCATATGTACTTTCATTTGATACTAAAAATCATCTCGCATTAACTTACGAGGCCGGTTTCGAAATTTGTCCTTTTATTACGATGCTGTGGCTACTGGCAATGTAAAAGAGCCATCGCAAATGTGACGAAGCCGACATAAACATATAATGGCGTAGACATAATGGAATTATCTGATTTATATTAATGGATAGACGTAAAGAAAATCTCAAAATTGAATGAGATAGGGTGTTCAGTATCTACTACGCCTATATATCTATAAAAGATTAAATGTGAAAAACTATTTCATCACTGATTGGATAACTTGCAAGTAAAAACTTCAGTATTTTGGTATAGTATGTTAGATGTGCATAACTAGTGTCTTTGATCGGAATTATTTGATTTTTGTTTTTGAAACTTGGTCATGTAAGTGTATTCTTTTATTGATGTATCTGCTTGTGAAAGACAACACACAAGTTGTTATTTGATAAACATTCTAATAAAGTCATTTTGTGGAACTTCGCATCTAAATTGCATCTACAAAGATGAGAAAAATTTTCTACTTGGCATAGCGTTCATCGATTTTTTAAAAACAACGGATATTTTTAGAAACTGGGTTTTAAAATTTGATCGATGGGTCTACAACAGAAGTGTTGAGGGCTCTCATTTAAACATATCTCCAAAATGTGAGAGCCGCTGTTTAGTAGGGGTGTTAACACTATACAACCAAGTCTGATAACAGAGTAACAATATCAAACATGGATAGTGTACTCCGCATCAGAACTCCGAACCAGTATAAATTAGTCGTTAAACACCGCAGAGATTGTTAATATTTCAGTTAGAAAAGAAAAGATTCATAGAAGGCCTGTTAATTTCCTGTTAACATCGGATTAACCCCAGAAGTTTGATTAATATAATTTTATGATGTTGTATACATGTATTCATGTTTTGTAGGTAAAAGCAGTTTTTGAACACGTGTTGTTAATATTTGAAAATGTATACCTTTCAAATACCCTATTTTATATAACTCATGCTATATATATCTTTTTTTCGTTTTTTTTATATAAGTAGTTCTAAAAATATAAACAGCAATTAAAAACGTAGATAGTTCCAGTACATTTCGATTCAATTTGCATTTCACAGTGGGCGATGGATTTGAAAGATTAGTAAAGAAAGTGGCATCTTCAAATGTGCATGAGGTTGTAGACGCATACATAAATGCAATAACATCAAGGTTTCCAAGGAAAAGGTACATCATTGTTTAAGCATTTAATGGATTATATATATCAAAGATAAAAGACCATAAGACATTGTTTAGCCATTCTTTACAGAATTACATGATACTGTGTCTTTGTTTCTTAGAGGGATACATCCACAGTTCGTATTCTAGAAGTATTTTGTAATCTGGGGATTTAGCCCCTTTATTTATACACACCATGGTCTGCATGTCTATTTTGATTAAAACAATACACAAGAAAACATTGAATAGCTTGAAGTGACTTGATTCATAACAGAAGACATGTAATACCATAAATACTTAATATGTTGATAGTATTTAGTACCATAAGTGATACCCAAACAATTGGATTGTGATGTTAAGTCTGAGATGACCAAATATGACAGCAGATAATTAATTGATCAAGAAAGAGAATAATACTAAATTTTATTCATTTTATAAATCTTAATAGTGTAACACCTATGACTCTAACAGCATGTTTATGTTCAAGAAATATGTCATAAGAATATTCAAATGATACATTTCTACATTTGTATTTGAACTAAAATAAGCTATATAGATAACGTGAGATAATATGTATATATGTTTATCAATGGATCTAAACGTCGGCACCATTTAGTTAATATAATCAGTCTAACATTCATCTCCAGTAAACCATCTCACATTGAAGTGAATAGTTATCAGGTTAAACATTCAACTGTTGAAACGATGTTTTGTTACAGTTGCAAAGCCGGTGCATTTTAACGATGTTTGACTAGTTTAAATAAGAGCTAATTTCACCAAATATTGATTACTTTTATACTTTAAATGTTTACCAGTCAAATGTTTATTTATTTTACAGGTATTCTGTCGGGTTTGATGCCAACTATATATTCCTTCCTTTGTCAATTTTACCTGAATTTATCAGTGACTGGGTATTAAAGAAGATGATATAAACAACCACAGTTGATACCGCCGACAAATATCCAAGAATAACACAAACGCATAATTTTCTTTATAAAAGGATTTGCGACTCTAAACATATCATTTACAATGCTGACATTGTAGTCAAACTCACGATCTGTGATTCTAGTACGTTTTTTTTAATTTAGATACAACGTGAATCATTTTAACATTATGTTTAGCTAGCCGGAGTTCATTCAATGACTCAATGAGAAATTTTATTCCTCTAATGCAACTCTCCAACATTGTCATACGCTTCAGAATATAAATCAATTAAATACAAATACATTCTTCTTTTTTGTCATGTTAAGACCTTATTATACCGTCAAAATTTTATCATTTAAAGTGTATAAAGCTAGATAGATAGATAGATAGATAGATAGATTGATAGATAGATAGATAGATAGATAGATAGATAGATAGATAGATAGATAGATAGATAGATAGATAGATAGATAGATAGATAGATAGATAGATAGATAGATAGATAGATAGATAGATAGATAGATAGATAGATAGATAGATAGATAGATAGATAGATAGATAGATAGATAGATAGATAGATAGATAGATAGATAGATAGATAGATAGATAGATAGATAGATAGATAGATAGATAGATAGATAGATAGATAGATAGATAGATAGATAGATAGATAGATAGATAGATAGATAGATAGATAGATAGATAGATAGATAGATAGATAGATAGATAGATAGATAGATAGATAGATAGATAGATAGATAGATAGATAGATAGATAGATAGATAGATAGATAGATAGATAGATAGATAGATAGATAGATAGATAGATAGATAGATAGATAGATAGATAGATAGATAGATAGATAGATAGATAGATAGATAGATAGATAGATAGATAGATAGATAGATAGATAGATAGATAGATAGATAGATAGATAGATAGATAGATAGATAGATAGATAGATAGATAGATCTCTTCATCATAATTTGCCAAATAACAAATGCTCTACCAGAACCAGTAGCTATTGGTTCTTTACAATATTTCACTTTTCAAAATTTAACGCGTGTTCCTTTATGGCTCCATTACCGGTAATTTTATCAATATTTCAATGCGTCTGCAAACAATATCATTGGACTTATTGTTAAGAGGCGGACTTAATATGATTGACGGTTAGGCAATTTTAAGCGAATAGAAATGTACAGCAGAAAATGGTTTTTGGTTTAACTTTAGCAAGACTGAAGCGTAGTGTATTTAAATCGCAAGGGAAGTAAAATTCGATTTGGTAAATAATTGTACTCTGTGCTAAAGATATCTTAAAAATACTAGTAAACAATATCAAAGTTACTTTTAATAATAAAAAGGAAAGGAATCTTTCTAATTTTTGACTGGATATAAACACTTGATACATAATTTTGTACTTTACAAAATGAATACAAAAGAAAGAATTGATTCTTCTGATTCTGACCTTTTGTTACTTTATGCGCATTTAGAAAGGATTGCTCGTAAGAAATATTTAAGTGATGATTATCTTAAAGGTATTGAATCTCATTTTGATGAGTATTTCAGAAGTATTGAACAGAATCCTACTGGAATGGAGTCAGTCCCTAAATTGACTCTTCTCAACAGTGATAAATGGGCTAAAGAAGCGAAAATCACTCCACAAATAGCAAAGGTTGCTGGTGTCGATATATCGGAAAATATTCCTATAAATGGGGATTCTGTGTTACTACGTGCGATGTCAATAAAAACCAAAAATAATTCGAGAAAGAAAACGCTTGATAAAATAATCAACATCATAATAAAGTACTGTCCGTTTCAAATTAAGAAAAGTCATGATAATATCAAAGGAGCAAGTCCAGTCAATCTTGCTATTGCACTGGAAGACATAGAAATTCTTAAGACAATGTCAATGAAAATAAAGAAAATAAAGGCAATGTCCAAAACAGAAAAGATAGATATCGAGTGTGCCGAGGGAGAGATATTTCAAGACACCGTGATGATGGCGGGAACACCTCTAGGTATTGCTTCTCTGATATGCAACAAAAGGATATTCAATATCATTCTGAAAAAATTTGAGCAGAAATTACATCTTGTCAATGAGAAGGGCGATACCCTTATTCATTCTATGATAAAATATGCTCATGTTCAACCAAATAAGTTAGAAGCAATACTTGAGATGCTCAGATATATCATAGATTGTAAATTCGAAAAAGAAAAATCTAAGAAAAATAAGATGAGCTATTCAGCAGTACGCCAAGAAGACTATAGAAACCAGATTAAAATTATGTTGATGACGAAGAACAAAGAGGAGCTTACACCATTGCAACTGGCAGCCAAGAGGCAACAGTTTGAAATATTTGAAGTAGTTTTGCAACATGAGGTAATCAAGGCAAAATTAACATTACTTTTATTCTTAGATAATGCTGAATTATTTGATAAATGTTGCTATTCATTTGGATATAGTCGGCGAACCTTAAGTTCGTCTCATTTTATACAAAAAAAGTAGTTCACTGAATTCCGTTAAAGTACAAAAAACAGTGCCGCTTGCACGTTAATTTGCTAAAAACTTGGTTGCCCGGGAATGACAAATTAAGCGATAAAATACAAATACACAAATGCTATGTCATATCGCTAGAGAAATTATTTGCTAATGATCTGAGGTTAATTCGAAAATCAATGTTCAGGAAAACACATGTCGATGATGTTGACACAAACAAACAAACCACGTTTATTCTAAATCAAATGGGAAGACCAACTATTTATTTACAATACGCAGGGAGTTTTAGTTTTTAGTGGCATAGAAGTAGAATTTTCGCAAGGTTTCCAAACAGTTGGTGGTTTGAGTCAGGGGTTGTGTGCTCACTTGATTATAATCTTTTTTGGAGCAATTAAACAAACCTGAGATAGATATTAAGATCAAAGTTATGTTTAACTTTTAGCTTTCGGGATTATCCGAAATTAGACGGAATTTATTTATAACATTGATGATTTACATGTTGTCTTCATTAAATTTGTACCTCCCTAAAATTTAATGTTTCATCTATTTAATTATTAAAATATTATTGATTTAATGGCACCCAGTGCCGTCTCAGACCACCTAAAATAAACCTGGGAACGCCACAGCGACATAGCTCAAAGAACGCGCTGTGTGTTAAAGTTTTATATTACATTATTTAAAAGTGCTTGATAGAAAATAGGATCTTGTCTAAAATTGCGGGAGCTTGGTGTTAAACCCAATTAACGTTTTTGTTAATAGTTTGAATAGTATCCTTCAGAAACATCAAATATGATAAAAGAAACCATCCATGTGTATTTTATGAGTTATAAATATTTGTCGAGCGGTAAAGACGAGTTTTTAGAAAGATGGACTTAAAGATAATACGAGTACTTTATGGTATAGAAGAATGCCCATGACGTTGCAGTGAGTCTTGAAAACGACAATGTGTTGTCAGATATCTAAATGACGTTATAAAATTCTAACTGATAAAATGCATATATCTAAGATTTATTTTAAGTATTCAATTTATGTAATACTATCCAAAAAGTATTCTTACAATGTTTGAACTTTGATAAATCCAAGTCGATGGATTAATTTTGCTTTGTGATCAAGGAATACTTCGCTACGGTAAACGAAAACTACAACGTTTTATTTGGTTTGAACAATATGTATTTCTTCTTCAATGTTTACAGACAAAATTACAGCATATAAGTTGCATTCAGGATTTCTTTTTTTTATTTTATTTATATTCGTACATTTACATACATGCGTGCACCTGTTGTTTTTTCAGCATCAATTTGATCATGCACGTTGTTCTTTCATTTAATAAAATGATGTTAAGAAATGAAACATATTTTATGCCTCAACTTCAGATGCGTATTATTTTTCGATTTCCCCAACAACCAAATCTAACAATAATTCAGAAGACATAGGATTGTGTTGCTAGCACACTTTCGGTGAATACATCCGGAATTGTCTAACAAAAGCAGTCTTTATGGCTATAACGGATTATAATTATTCACCTAATGGGTTATAAGGTATTGACCTTATATTTCGTACAGCGGCAAATATTTTGAAAACATTTTAGAATGTTTAACGTCACGGCTTATGATATTGTAACAAAGTTCAGACTGCGCCGTATGCGAATTATTTTGTTTTTTTTTAAATTATTTTTGCATTAAAATTATTTAATTTATGGCTCAGTTCCGGTTATTCTGGATCATCCCTCGTTTACATGTATCTTAATACATGTTGTTGTATTTGGTTTAATATCGCTTTATAATAGTAATTCAGTTATATAATAGAAAACAGTAACTACCAACTTTTCCATATGTTTCAGAGTTATAGTACAATCTGTTTATATGCAGTATTATAGTTGTTGACAAGTATTCACACTTTAAGTTTCAGTACGTACATGCGTGTTGTACTATTGTCCAGATCTGTATGTTTTGTTTGCCTCATGCAGGAATAAATTGAGATTATGTCAATATAAACGGGATTTAAACAGTGTCCTTGAAGAATTAAACAATAACAATATTTCTTTATGTTTCATAAACGAACTATGACTATGTTTCTCATTTTTAATGTTCCTAAACTTAAACTTTTTTTCAGATCTACATTCCTAAGCATACAAACGACAGTCTCTTCCATTATCAAAAATACGACATCACTGAAATAGAAACGCTTGCACTGAACGACGGAGTCAAAGGAACACATCTCGAGAACATAAAGACCGAGCATCATGAATCCGTCTTAGAATATGTTCTTCATCATAGAACGGACAAGGCTTCCCGATTCACAAACATAACGCCAGTGAAAGATGTGATCAAAGAAAAATGGAAGTATTATAGTTGGCCCTTTAGGATCTGGTTCTTAATGTATTTTATTTTTATGGGCATTCTATCTTATGCCGCTGTTAGGAGGTCACAAATCCGGAAATCTTTGGGAAGTAATGGCGAAATTCAGTATTCATATCAATATCGTGTGACACAGGACGTTTATGTTACAACTGTTTCATTTCTTGGTGCGTTTTTTGCCCTAATATTTATTTCAATTGAGTCCCGCATCCACTATATCAAAAGGTTCCGTACAAAAACATCGGCATAATTAAGGAAAAGGCTTAAAGAAAATATCAGCTTCGTAAATATCATACTCGAAATTTATGTTTATGGTATACAATGTTATTTTTTCACTTTTTCTGATTTTTGACTGTGTACTTGCTTTAAGTGCTGGAAAAATAAAATATCATCGTACGAAAACTACTGTCTGATATTTGCCATAATAAATGGCTGGTATCTTGTGTTACTCTTTCTTCGAACATGCAAGGTATTTAGTTTCTACACTCTTCTTATTCATAGGGTTATACTGGATATGTTAAAGTTTGCAGTTGTTATGATAATATTTCTTGTAGCGTTTTCCATTGCAATGTTCATGGTAATGCAGGGTGCAGACTCGAACGACGACGATTTTGACAACATTGGTAAAACGATGGTAAAAATGTTAACGATAATGCTTGGTATCGGTGAGCTCGGGGTGTTATTTCAGGCACGGGAACCAGTTCTGGCAGTGCTTGTTTTTGTGCTTTATGTTCTACTTACAACGATTCTTCTCTTGAATGCGCTTATAGCAATGATGTCAAACTCCTGCACAGGTCTGATGGACAAAAACGCAGATGTTCATTATCGTCTGCAAAAGTTGTCTGTCATTCTGTTCCTTGAAAGCTTCCTGCCCTTGTACTTGTGTAAAGAAGTAGGAGAAATTGAGAAAGTCAATCATTTTGAGAATATCAAGAAATCAAAAAAATACCTACCTAGTAAAAGGAGGATGTGGACCCGTAGATCTGTAACGAAAGACATATCAAATGCGTCTGTAGCTTCTGATGTCCCCATGCAAGACGCTGACAACAAAAATTTTAATCTTCAAGAATTACTTTCCAAGTTTCGAAAACAAAGCATATCTAAAAAGATTAAACCAAACAAGATAGCCCAATCTCCGGAGGTACGAAAGCACATTGAAATCATTGATACGACGCTACAACGTTGTGACAATTGCGGAAAAGAGGCATTGACAGGATTGCAGACACAGGATATAACAGAAAAATATACAAATCTGACTATTTAGAACATATATTATAAACATGTGGCAAGGAATGTAAGCAGGTATAGCAAGAATTATATAAGTATATAATATACATGTACATATATACATATATATTTACATATATATTTCAATATATATATATATATATATATATGTAGATCCCATCATTATAAGTACAAAACTAAAATTAATTTTGTGGAATTTAACTAATACCAACAGTTAGTGATGATAATCAACAGAACGATTAAATTGGTCAAAAATGCATGTTTTGTTCTCGCAAGTTAATTACAACTTTATTTCCTTTCGAATAATAGTTTATCATGTTTATTTAGATTGTTAAACTTACAACGTTGCATATTGATATTTTCAGTTTTAACTTGTAAAAGCTGATTATGGGTTTGTATAAGAGGCGAACAGCTAAATATGAATATGCCGTTAATCTTTCACGGCTTTATAAATGTTGCTATTGTTGTTGATGTTGCTGCTGCTACTGCTGCTGCTTCTGCTGCTGCTACTGAAGTATGTTGTTCTGCTGATGCTGCTGCTAATGCTGTTGTTGAAGTATGTTTATAAACATCTCAACAAACAACATTTCATTATAACATTTATTTTAAGAATGTTTTTTATGGTAAAATTAGATTTATATCTTTATTACTTATTACAATGTAATATAAAAATTTAATTAACTGAAACTAGACAATTCATTATAATTTTTGTTCAAATCAAAATCAGATTAATATCAAATGTTCAGTTATTGATGATAAACGATAGAACGGTTAAATTGATCAAAAATGCATATTTTGTCCTCGCAAATTAATTACAAAAATATTTCCTTTGAAATAATAGTTTGTAATGTTTATTTACTTTTTTAAACTCACAACGTTGCATATACGTAGATATTTTCTGTTTTAACTTGAAAAAAATGATTTAAGGTTTTGTATAAGAGGTAGACGGCTGAATATGAATATGTCGGTTATGTTAAACGGCTTGATAAATATTGCTCTAGTGCTGCTGCTACTGTTGCTGGAGTATGTTTTCAGCGATATGCATAAACATCTCAACAAATAACATTTCATTATAACATTACTGTAAAGAATAAATATGAGAATATACCTTGTCTATTGGTTCAGTCAGTACTTAAAAAAACAAACATATGTTGTCTTAAAATTAAACTCCCTGGATGTTTTCATCCAATTTGAAATGCTTGACTATACATAGCTGCAAAACGGAAATAGTTTTCATTCTGTTCGTATTTGTACTCTTATATGCAACCAGTTGTTGTTTATGTGACTCGTTTTGCGATAAAATTAAAAATTCCTCCAAAGATCTGACGTTTACGGATCCTAGAATGTTTGTTTATGTCTGTAATGGTTTTATCAAATACTGAAAAAGTTTCAAAATTTTATCTGTATAAGTAATTACAATGTAACTCATGTATACAAATTTAATTAACTGAAACAAACTAGACGTTTCATTGTCACTTTTGTTCAAATCAAATTCTGTTTAAAACGAATCATATGTTTATTGTTTAAAACTAGCTCGATTACTTCTGAATGCATTAATGTCTATGGTTTGTTAGAATAATATTGAGAAGACATGGTCCGTTAACTAGCTGCAATGTAGCTTCCATGCGGTTTTGATGTAATGTGCAAGCTGTCTGTTTAAATTTTAATTATAGGCTAAGCTTTTTTTTTAAAACGATTGATTAATTTTACATTGTTATGAAAGTAATAGGATTCTTGTTTGTTCAATAATGATTTAAAGCTATGTTTTAAGTGCTGACAATGTTTAAATGAGTACAATTGTTCAATCGTTTTGCTCTATAGTCTAATGATCGTTTATACGTTTCAGAAAAGGATACAAATGCCTTTTTATGCCGGTTTTAAATAATTGATATCTGATAAATATCTTGTCGAGACAATAGAAAAATTGGCCGGTATCGTATCGAATAAACCCGTTTGTTCATTGTCATTGTTAATTGTTTTTGATATAATTGAAGTTACTCAGTGACATTACAATTGCATATTCGCGTTGTTTTTCAAAAGATAAAACAAGTTTAAATCAAGTGGAAAATCAATATTAAAAAGTTAAATTGGTTTGCATGTTTGTATGATTATATTTTGTGTCAGCTCATGAGTTGGTTATCTTCTATTTTATGTTGATTGTAAATTGACTTAGAAATGAAGTATATCCCTTTAAAATTTTCTATAAATACCTTAATACGGTATCTTGTTGCATCAGGATATCTTATATAATAAGATGTTAATAAGTGCATACATACATGTCAGAAATTGAATTAAATCATGTATCTAATGTAATTAATTAATTAATTTATTTATTTATCTATTTGTTTGTTTTGTCTGTTGGGTTTATTTTGTAACATTAATTGATTGATTTTAATAAATAGACAGGATAAAAACAATGTTTTCTTTTGTTTAATTGTAGCTTAAAGCAGCATGCCGGCAGATTCATGCTACTTCTCATGAAGATATTGTAAGAGGTTTTTGTAAAATGTAAAAATGTGTGAAGTGAACAAAAAAAGTATTTTACACATTACAGACCGCATTTATTATCTACGTAAATTGCATAAAGAGATAAAAATATGCAAAATATAGCCCTGTCTGAGTTAGTCACGCAGTAGTAATATGTTACTGCAAAATCAGTCAGTTATCGCCATTGGCTTGAATCATTTTATTTAAAATTTCCTAAAATCTAAGTACATTTTTCTCACGTTTAGTTTTGCTTAAATCTTTTTGGCTCATCTGAAATAATGCAGCTTTAACTTAAATTGACTTGACGTGTCCTCGAAACATTATACTTCAAAACTCTTTAAAATAATAACTACATAGTTTCTCAATTTGGCAGTATAACTATAAATCGGTATATTTTACTATGTTTTGGCCCCGAGCCAAATTTTGAACAATAGAAATATTGTAGATAATTTGGTGATTTAAACAATTTTATTATACAAAAAGCAACAATACATTAGCAATTCATCTTTATCTTTCGATAAGACAATTCAATTAAATTTATTAAGTAAAAATTAAAATCTAACTGACTATGGTCTTATTTATTTACCTCATTTTGTTACTATATTGTTCTGAAGTTTTTATTCTTATAATAAACAATATAATATTTTATAAATTTTAGATATAACATAAATAGAGTTCCTTTCGATAATCAAATCGACTTACTCTGATTTTATAAGCATAGTTATTTTAAAAATATCTATTTCCCAAATACATATAAATATATATATATACATACATACATTTACAATACAAATCAAACATTTTTATATTCAAGAAAAGGATAAGAACGGAAGACACATTCTTCTCTTGTTCCGTGTATTTTATAATGTGCTGAATTTTGAACTATATAAAAAGTAGAACATAATCAAGAATATAAATATTCTGCAAGAAATAAAGATGCAGACATGTGTAAGAAGTACGGAAAATATAAAGTAATCAAAAATGACTAAAAAGTATTGTGTAAATGTTGTGTTTTTGCTTACAAAAAATATAACTAAATAGCAAAATTGTTCTCGTTAAGAGATGGAAAGCAGGAGTGTTTCAAAATTAGATCAGAAAAATCGTTTTGTTTCAGATATGTTAATAGGAACATGCTTGACAATAGTGGCATTATCTGTAAAAGAAATACATGGTATCGTTAAGGGTATTAGAGTAATGTTGAAATTGTTAACATCTGGGCATTCCAAATAATAGTGAAACTAAATTTCCATTGTAAAGGATTGCTGGCCAAGTTGGTTCAAACCCAGTCAGTGGCAAGCCGTTGTTTCCGTGAGCAAGGAACTTTACACTCATTGCTTAGTACTGGTTCGTTCCAGGAACGGTTTAAGAGTGTTTCAATAAGCTAACACCTTCAAACACAATCGAACTAAAATAAATTAGTATAAACTAATAAGCAATATCAATATGCATCATTTGACAATATTTTAAAGGTGTACAATGGAAACACAACAGCGGTAAATATCATTTCTTCTTTGA